TAGGAAACACGTCATGAAATGATATAAAAGACCACGAAACGCTAGGAAATGTTATGAAATGCTATTAAAGACCACGAAACGCTAGGAAACGTCATGACATGTTATGAAAGACTACGAAATGCTACGAAACGTCATGACAAGCTATAAAACGCCACGAAATGTTTGGAAATGTCATAAAATGATACAAAAGATCACGAAACGCTAGGAAACGTCATGAAATGCTATAAGAGGCCACGAAAAACTAAGAGATGGCATGAAATGCTATGACAAGCCACGAAACGCTATAAAAGGACAACGATACGTCATAAAATGCCACGAAATGCTACGATTCGATACGATACCCGAAAATGTGACAATAACGCGTCAAAAAACCACGTGACACGCATTATGTACCACGATACTTTACGAAAGATTGCGAAATTCTACGAGAGGCTACGGAAGGCTGCAAAACATCACGAGAAGCCAAGATTCGCTAGGATGCAGCGAAGAGGTGCCACGTCAATTTGAAAATTCGAGAAGCACGCGAGACAAGGCGAATATTTTACCGCGAAGTGACGTCCCTGGGATCACGGGACCACGGAAGTGGCTCTCTAACGATTTCCATCAGCATTCCTTTACACGCCGATGACGCGAATATCGCGCGAGGAAACCAAGTCCGGCGAAAAATGCATTTCACCGTGGGAAACTGGAAATTGGCTCCTCCGTTATTAAGGCATGCTGTATGAAGAAAGTATAAATAGGAATTTTGTTGCGGCAGGAAGATTGCGAGAGAATGGGTTCCAAGATTTCAAAGGACGAGAAAACTCCAGATAATCCTGAACTTTAAATTTTCCCTGTGCTAAAAGCATGCCACAAATTGACAGTATTATGCGCCGGATCAGGTTCATTTGAACGATCTCTGCATAAGAGATATTAAGCCGGAAATAAGCAAACGACGGAATGGATAAAGTCGAGTCTACGACGTTCTTCAATAGCGGATTATTAAATAATAAATTATACCCTGAGAATTATTTATTATATATATATCATTTTTCCTTTTTATCGAAGTATAGCGTGTCCTGAGACGAAAATGTCACGAATTATTTTCGAGATAACTGTCAAAAAGTTCAAAAATATAACGAGAGTCTGGGGAATTAAATATCACGAAAAATTAATTTATAACTTGTCATTTTTTACTCCGCCATATTTGCAAGAGTCGTTTTTAGCGCGAACTCTTCAAAATAAATTAGAAATGAAATAAAATAATTCTTAAACGAATATAATTGAGTTTAGTGAAACGAGGTGACATTATAGAAGGAAAAGGAAGTTCTGAATTTCGTACGGTTACGTGTGACCTGAAATTAACAGAAATTAATGTGCATGGCTGATTAAACTTCCATGCATTAAGCGTTTAAATTCAAATAATGCCTATGATGATAGCGATGTAGCCCGTGTCATATCTCTGCGTTAAAATGCGTCCATGCTTGAAACTGACATAGAGCCTGTACTCTATTAAGGCGTCAAAATCAGGATAGAATCGAAAATGGATTTTCGATAATCCGCCACTGGTGTTGGAACAAGTTGGTTTACGATTTATAATAATTCGAGCGAGGGAAATGCTGGAAGAAGAAATTACGAACGACGTGTAACGATTCGATGTCAAAAAGAAGAGTCCTAAGACAAATTTATCTGAGAATTTATCGAGATGATCAAATAATCCAGAAAAAAATAATTGCTATAATTATTGAAGAAGTGAGGTAAATATGATTTTTCAGAAATTTCAATATAATAAAATTTTATAACAGTGAACATAGCAATTTTGTTACAAATTACTTTGAGATTTTTAAATAATTTTTTAAAATTAAGGATTTTAAGATACTATCTTGGATAAAATAGAAATTTCAATTCGGAAATGCTTTTTGTACAACGATCTGAATTTTCCGAGATGCGTACTTCGTTTGTAAAATAAATTCGAAATTATTTACGAGATCGTGGACACGTAAAAATTTGAAATACTTCAGGCATAATCTGCGAATATTATGAATTTTGGGGTCAACGAAATTCAGCCTTAAACTTCCGACTTTCATACCGCAGTTACGATATGGAAATGCAAATCAAATTCATGTTTATCAGATTTATAGGGCAAGATTTTATGCGAGTCACAACAGTTTCGCGTTGTTCGCGAATGAATAACAACCGGTAACTAATAATTTATTGCATAAAACTGTTATATCTTCTTCGTATATCCTGTTCTGTTATTTTCATTGTTGTTCTACTCGTTATGCACGCAAAAGGAAGCTGTGCTCCCGAAATATTAACGTAAACTTTATTTATACTACTTTGTTGATCTATTTCGACTAAATTAACTATAAAGTCTAAAAAATTGGCAAAATTCGATGAAATAAATACGGGAATGTTTTCCAAGAAAAATATTATAGTCCAAGGAAATAAAATCGAAAATTAACACTAGAACTACCGATCTTTAATGGGTACCTAACTATAACGTGCACAGATTATAGTAATTTCAGCGGTACGATGAATATGAGTGAATATATCGATTACAGTTCTTTCTTAATACGAGTTGATACCAATTTTATTCTTAAAGCAGGTGTATGTGTTCGATGATTGCAAAAAGGAAAATTCTGGGACCAGTCATTTTCACTGGGTTGGTACTTCTAGTGTTAAGGTTTTAGTTGGGGAGTTGGAACATCTTGGTATGGATTTGTACGTGACGTAAGTTATTCGTGATTATTATTGTAGATTATGGTCGACGTTTTTAAGGTTCTGTAGAATTTTGTTTCTAACTTATCAGCGATTTAACATGGAAAAATAAAGGCTTAAATGGTTTCAGCTGGGGAGTTGGTAGATCATGGTGTCGATTTGGAGATAGCTTTAGTGGTTTGTGATTATTATTGTAGATTATAGTCAATGTTTTGGGGGTCCTGTAGAATTTTATTAAGTATAATCGTATTATGCTTAACAATTTAGGAAGAAATTTAAGACAAAAATTTTTGGAAATTTCACGGAAATGAAATTTAATAGAATTATAATGGGAATGGAATAATTGGCATTAAATGGTACCCGATATGAATGTAAAAGCGTATAAAGTGTTTAAATAAAGCAGCAGGTGTATCCCGATAAAGGCAGTGTCGGTCAATTTTACTCGTTTAAATCCATTCTGTCGGTGATTCTATTCCTTTTCGTGCCTGAAACAACGTAATTCCGTGAAGTATGGTACAAACGGATTCGCAAATTAGCAGGGATTATCGTACATTACCCGTCGCTTGCGAACAAACGTGTGTTACGCTGCGAGCAAAACACGTTCATAGCATGTCACGATCAATTATTGTACCCACTTTATACGCGATCAGTTCTAATTTCACCTAATAAATATTTAAACGGGGTTAACATCTGAGGCTAATATCTTCTTGGTACGATCCTGATTTTTGCGGAAAAGGGGCTTCAAAATTTCATACGAGGGATGCCGGGAAATTGCCATTTAATGGTAGAATGAATTTGCAGTTTGCGGACACGAAGAAAAGTATATTTTACAAATAAATGGAACAAATTGCACGTTTTCGGGGAAAATTCGTTGGACAAGGTGTCTGATTAACCGAGATTGAAACCCTTCCCAGTAGAGGGACCATAAGGCACTTGCCACAAGGATTTATGGTCTGACGGTCAAGCGAGCACCCTGCCGGAAACCGAGTTCACCCTGTGGTCCTACGTCTTGAGGATGTGTCTACTAAATACTCCCGAAGGAAAGTGACACGAGTTACGAATCACACACAGCTTTAGTGACAAGCTGACGTAGTCCCGTTGCCTCCGGCAAAGGAGGAGAAAAGGCTATTCCCCGATCAAATATTGGTAAAACGAGATTATATTTACTTAAATAAATATCCAAGAATCTGCACTCGACGATTTTTTGGCTAGAGAAGAGTAAATTCAAAGATTTTGTACTAAAAAACTGACGATACTTTTCTGAGCAGTAAATAAAGGATTGTATAATAATAGAATTGTAGAATTATTTGATTCCGAGACCTCGCACACTGTTACGTTATATTAAATTTGATATATTAATTAATATCGATCTTCCAAATTTTATGGAATGGTGGCTGAAGGGTGAAATGAGTTATTTTCAGTTATAAAAATTTTATAAATTTAGTAAAATATTTAATTCCATTATGTTCCTCTGACGATTATATTATGAATAATATTTTCTTGAGATAAAAAAGGGAAGAAATGTTCAATTTCTACATCTAATTTTAATTGTCCTTAATATTTGCAATTAATATTCCCATCTCCATATGTACTAAAACTGTTTGATTAACGTCTGACTCGAACTACTTATCGGTGGACTGATACTTATTGACTCGCACTCCTTGCTCACGGGCTAACTTTAATTGTCTCGCGAGTGACATACCTGTTCTACTTATCATCGAGCAGCGAAATTAATTACCCTTATGCGAAGGTAAACTGACATCAAATTCGACGATCTACTTTCGATAATTGGTATTTATCCATGCTCAAATCGAAATCTGGCGCATCGGAAAATCGCAAACCCGGAATTCCATAGTCGACAAAAACCTTGCATGATTCACAAAGAAAATCCTAAATTGCAACTATCCTTCTCGCAATTCGCAGAAAATTTTGATGCATAAAAATTGTTTAAAATAATCTACAAACTTAATTTTTTAAATTTCATTACAAGGCTGACCCCCTTTGCACTCCAAAAATACTGTAATTCCATTGTCCAGCGATTTTGCTACACTCTAACAGTACAATGAGCATTTGGAAACCAAAATTTTCGTATTTCGAGAAGAAAAATAACAGAAATATCAAAAATATCTGTAAATTTCTTTCCAGCCTTACGATTAGTCTTTTATTTCCACGATTAAACCCCCAAGGAAGTAACCAATTACATTTTCTCGATATCCCCATAACGGAGTGCACAGTCCCCTAAACAGAGTGCCCTCGCAGGGTTTTCATATGGAAAAATCGTATAAGAAAAAAGGACTCACCTAGCAGGTACCATTCGCCATTCGTGATGAAGTCGGACAGGTCGCCGCTCTCCGTCTCCGAGCTGAGCACGAGGTCGACCTGGCAACGTCAAAGTTCGATTAACAGAGGCACCCGTCCTAGGCATTTCGCTAGGTCACACGAAGCGAGCGTGCATGCACGTGCGACAGCTTTATGCCACTCTTCGCTTCTACGGCACAACTACGACTACTTTCGCAGCGTTGCACACACTCACACACACTCACACACTCACGCATACAGAGGTGAACGTGGTGTCGGTGGTCGATAAATCGTGCAAGGAGAAGGCTCGTGGGACGATGGCGTGTCGAGGAGGAGTCTGTGTTTCGTATGCGTGTCAGGTATACAAAAGGAGGCAAATCCGTGGCGATCGACAGACTGAGCCCCGGAATCTCAACGACAATGAGAGAAACGCCTCCTGCCGCTGTCTAACGTCGATCCGCGACGTTTCAAGAACCACTTAATACGCTTTTATAGCGAATACACCCCTTCATCCCTCGTCTGTCGCGATGAGAAACCTTTCGCCTGTTTATCCGCCATATTGACAAGAGAGTCGAACACTTTCGACTCCTTTCGTCCCGTTTCCCCCTCAAAACCCCTTCAGAACCCCTGTTGCGTTCGTGCATTCCTTGGACTCGATCCACGACCCACAATCTTCGTCCTAAAGGAGCATCTCCATGACTCGTCGATGTTGCACCGGTATCCTTGTACTGCGACCAGTCTTGCTGACGAAACTTCGAGATGCTCCTCCAAGAAGATTCGACCGTACTCTAAAGTTTCAAGAACCCCCTGGTTCTATCCGTGTAAACGAATTGGTTATGATTATGGCTTCCACGAAGTAATCGAAGGTTTGTCTGGACTATTATTGACTTCCTTTCTTTCCCTCAGTTCCCTCGGGTCTTTCTTTTATGCCAGTTGAACCGGCTATCGAGAGAATCCTTCCTCTGAAAGGAATACTTCGATGATTCGCCAAAGTTGCATTGGTAATCCACCAGCCTCGCTGATGAAACTTCGAAGCGATCCTTGAGGAGGATTCGACTCATACTCTAAAGTTTCAAGCACTTTTTAGTTCCAGCTGCGTAAACAAACAGGCATGATCCCGACTTCCGAGTAATCGGAGGTTTTCCGCGATACCTAACTCCACTTATATCTTGCTTCATGAAACACTGAACAGCTATCGCCTCTTTTCGTTTTACCAGCTTCTTTCTACCCTTTTCTGTTCCTTTAGTCTGCTTCAACTGGAATATTGAAGCATCCTGTCAAAGGGAGCACTTGGATGATTCACCAATGTTCTACTGGTATTCCACCATTAACCCTTTCACTTCGAGCGCCGTTTATATATATATATGGCGTCCACGCGATGACTCCTGGGTACAGGCACCCAAGGTATCCGGCATCTAAATGATACGTATACAAGTGCAATCTGTGTACGATTGTTTTATTCAGCACAGCTGTTATTTAAGACTTAGGAAAACGTACAGAAATATACAGGAACCACACGCACTGTGCATACTTCTGGCACACGCTTCCGTTCAGTGTCGGTGCTTCGACGGATTGAATTGCTGAAGCGAAAGGGTTAATTCTCATCGACAAATCTTCGAATCCACGCCATTTCGAGGCTAACCAAGATATTAGACTGGTACACCAAAGTCCACTTTGTATATACTTAATATGACTCGCGAAAATATATTTGTGACGTGAAAATGGGGTATTATTTTATTTATAATTTGTTACAGTAAATTAGTTAATAAGTTTATTAAGTAAAGCACATGGTTTTGTTAATTTAAATAAACATTTTATCCTCAGAATAAATAACGAACACGATCTGCGATACTAACAAGGACAGTGTAAGTCCTTCGAGTCGTTGATTTAATTAAAACTAGGCAGGTTTATGGATTTAGTCATCCAGTTCAAGGAAGTGTACCATTATAGGGAAAATACTCAATAGTTCTTGGGATATTTATGATTGAATATTTATTACTCTTAACACTAGAACTACCAATTGAGTCAAAATGACTGCTTTTCGAATTTTTCTATCTGCACTTACTAAAAACATATACTTGCTTTCACAAAAATTCGTGTTGACTCATAGTGAGATTATAATTAATATATTTACTTATCTTTCTTGTACCACTTAAATTACTGCCGTCTATGCCAGCCATGTTTCGGTGGCCATTAAAAATCGGTGGTTCTAGTGTTAACTATAGATTTCTTCCGAATACCACCAGAAATACCAGTTTTCGATATCGCCATTAGGCCACAAGGGCACTTAAATATTCGAAATAAACCTATAATTAAGGCAATAAATAAACTCTAATAATAAATATCTCGAAAAGTATCGAGTAGTTGTCCTCATAATGATATATTTTCTTAAACTGAATGACAAAATCTAGAAACCTGCATAGCTCCAAATAAATCAATGACACAGAGGACCTGCACTCTCCTTGTGAATGATTAATTCAGACATACCTTAGTGTCCGAATATTTTTGCGAGACACTGTACTTTCTAATTTTTTTTTCAAATTCATCTACCTAGGAAACGACTAGAATACAACTTCGAAATCTCTCGAATAATCCAAGATTCTCACGCAACACCTAACTCAGCTCAGCATGTTCCGCTATACCCTGGAGCTTCTATTGCCTTTTCCTGTTTCAGGCATTCCCTTACATCTCTCTCTCCTTTTATTCTGCTGGAACCGTGACTGAATACAGAAGGAATCCCTCAAAGAACGCTTGTTCCACCGTGGAATCCCTTTTAAACGGTTTCTTGGCTCCCTTGAAGCTCAACCGTCTATCTGTTGCTCTTTGATCGAGAGCCAAGCGAGATGCGGTTCCGCGTGTTCTAACTTTTATGGCCGACATTTCCATCCATGGGTCTTTAACCGCGTTCTACCGGATTACCATAGGCATCCCAGTCGGTTAACCGGCTGCACGTTTCCCGCTTGTCTCGTGACTCGAGTAGCACGGCCAACGATTTGATTTATCGCGAACAAGCTCGACAAGATTGCCCGGCAACCTCCGGCTATCCGAGTAATCGAAGAAATTGAATAAATTGCTCGACGGCGCTGAAAGAAGTTCGCGTATAAGGAAATCGCAGATAAAGACCGTCGGAACCAGGCAACTTCCCTCCAAGCGGCCCGGTATTAAATTGAAATTTCACCGACTGGATTAAGCGCGTCTGCCGATTATGCGCCGCGAAAGACGTTCCACCTTCGATTTTAGTTGGCCAAGCACCGAGACTACTCGGCACGAAGTTACTCCGGGTAATTGCCTCAAGTTTCGCGTTTGAAATTTTGGAAAATTTCCGTGAACGCGTGGAGAAGTTCCACGGGAGACTTAGGATCCTCGTTTCGCGCGAAAAATTTGCTACTTTGGTATTCTCTTATGGGGGGTTTATTGAAAAGTCGTACGTAGGTTAAGTTCGCGATGGAGAATTAATTTTGAGAAATAATTTTCTCACTGAGAAACTTCCATTTTGATAAATAATAACTGGAGAAATATCGTGTATGAACTCGAATAATATTAACCCTTTGCGCTCGACGATTTTTTAGCTGAAGAAGGGTACGAGTTGACAAATTTTCTGTTACAAGGCTGACTATATTTTTTGACCACTAACTAAGAAATCGTATAATAATTAACACGTAGAATTATTTAATTTCCATATCTCCCACATTGTTACATTATTTTTAATTTTATACATTAACTAATATTCAGTTTCGAAATTTTATCAAATGGCGACTGAAAGGAACCTCTCCAGTGCAAATGGTTAACAATTAGGATTGCAATAATTAATTTTTGTCAAGAAGTTAGAAATACTTGAAACAGTTCCCGATTTTTAAAAAAGTACTTGCTCTGTGCAAATTATTAATTCACGAAGTTCTAAATAAATTTCCCCATTGGACTATCTATCAGTCTATCCTAACCTCCACGCCATACTCGCGAAAAACAGATAATAAAATTCGAATCACCAAAACGCGGTTGAAATAATCGTTTTCCATAAAATAAATATGAATAATATATATAAAATAAATATTTCTAAAATTTCTAGGCCCATAAATAAATCTTCGTGGAAGTTCAAAAATTATTTGTCTTCGTCTATAGCAATTCCTGAATCGATCAAATTTTCTTACAAATGATACGAGGCTCGTAAATATCGTTTTTCCGAACGCACATATATATCATGTCTCTCTTTCACGCTGGCAGGAGACTTTTTATTCCTTTCTCGGTGATATTTTCGAGATCGCGTTTTGCATAGCGTCGCACACAGACTCGCGGAGTGTTAGGACGAACGCACGTGGTTTGGAACGTTAGTCTCCCATAATTCATCGCGAGACGTATATTTCATGGAGGCGGCCCGATTCCAGTGTTTATTCCCCAGGGATTGTGGCTTAGCGCTCTGTCTCCTGTATCGAGACTAATCGTCAAACAGCAATTGCACATACGCGCATTGATATTCCGTACTTATTATTTATCGCCATAAGTGGAGTTACGTATCGCGACGTCGGTGATACCTAAGATATACCCTGTGCAATTTGCATTGCAAAATGACGCTGCACTCGGTGCTCGCAATGAAGATCCCATGCAGATCAGGTGTCTTAGGTGCACTTGTAATATGCACATTTATTTATAACTTAAATTAGCCCTTCATAGAAAATTAGTTACGTCACTGCAATCGTTTTTCAAATGGAAGAAATTTGCGAATTTTTCGTCCAATAAAATTTAAGAAATTTAGTACAATACGAGGGATCTGAGAATTTCTTTAATTATAAAAAAGGAAAAGCTATTTTAATTTTCGTTGTGCAATAAAATAAAAATTGTTATTATCCAAGACAACGTGGACAATAAGCTTCTTTTTCTCATTAACTTTCTCAATTTATAATTGTCAGAATCCTCATAATCGCGAGGCTACCGCCATAGCGGTTAAACGCTGTCCATGGAGAAGCTTGATTTCCCAGGCGGTTCTGAAGGAGATTCTTAGAAACGTCGCGGCGCGATATTTCACTCGGGACGATAAGTCCATCGCTTGAATTGCCATTTTCCATCAGCCGGCAAGAAAGCGTAGA